ATTCAAACAACACACAAATTCAGGCCTTGGTGCTATAAATGTAGGGTCTATGGTCACCTCAACACTGAATTCGCTTGCCCACAACACCCTCAGCAGACTGACGGATTGGACGGCACATTGAAGAGAGATTCCCTCCAGGCTATTAGATGGCTACCCAGCACCCCGGGTTTCGAGGGTTAGGTGTACGTGGATGAGATGACACCAGGCAGCCCCCCAAAACAAAACCACCAATGCCCCTAAGGGAAAAAAGAGGGGGGGAAGGAAGTGGAAGTAAGAACACACAACGAAATGAGTTAACAAAGTAAAAACTGAATGGACTGCGCATCGGACCAAATGCAACTGCATACATTCGAACTGGGAATCGTTTCACCCCATTGAGTATAGAAGAAGCAGAGAGGGATGAGAGGGAAAAGGAACCAAATGGGCAACGACCAGCAAAACTGGGACAGCAGACACAACCAAACTAAGAGAAAGGGCCCAACAAAACCAAAAAACAAGTAGGATACCCTGAAGGTCCCCCGAATGCTCCCTTGGACCAGCTAAATACAGAACCATGCCCGGAACCAATGGATCTGGACTTATTGAAGGAAGCTTTCAATCCACAGCCAATGAAAATAGAACAAGTCTGAGGTGCTCCCCCTCCCCTAAAGAGGAGCGCTAACCCTGATTCAAAAAAATCATAAACAGCGGAGAATGCATGAGAACTCAAAAAGGTGGCGGAATGGCTATAGAAAGTTTCAAGATAAAATTCCAAGGTCGTTCATAGGAATTTTGGTATGCCACATATGTTCAACTGGTCACTCTTTTTGAACAACAGAAAAAATGTGGGCATTTTCTGGGGGGGGTCATCAAATGTGTGCACCCCTTTTAAACTGTTGGTTTCGTGTTAATAAACAGTTTGGCGGAGGTGGTGTCATGTGTTCCACAAAAAGTGAAGGAACTCAACGTTGATAACATATGTCATAAACATGCGACACTGTGTTCAACACTTGTTCAATTGTTGAAAAACTGTTGAAAAGTTGTTGAAAAGTTGTTTACAAGTTGTTTACAAGTTGTTGAAATGTTGTTGAAAATGTGATGATCAATTGTTGAACATTGCAGATATTGTTGGGAATATTTGAAAAGAGAGAGAGAGAGAGAGAGAGAGAGAGAGAGAGAGAGAGAGAGAGAGAGAGAGAGCCCTGTTAGTATTGATCACCTTCATCTTAGTCTGTGTACCTCCCTGTCAATCCTGAATGCAGCGCCATGGGCAAATGTCCGATGGATGTGAACGAAATTGACACGCGGGATGGCTACCGGGTGCCAATTTCCAGCATCACTTCCATGCATGACAAGAACATGGCACGCGGTAGTCTAGTTCTCACCCAACATAAAGATGAACATGTTTTGTAGTGCTTTGTGACATCATACTCAATATTTTTGGAAGTGGGTATTGCGTTTTCTGCTTATTTTTGTCAAACACAATTCATGTTCTTGCAAAATCATACGTTGATATTTTTTTGCCCACATTACACATAACGCATTGCGTATCCTTGCAAGACAAGCAACAATGTGTACACTGAATTGATAGTGCGTAATGTGAGATGCGAAGCGCAAATGCTATATGATGGTCGAAACACATCCATGACAGGCCTTGTTCAAAACCGTTTGTTAAATAACATATGTTTGTTTATTGTACACTCAGCCTAAAGGGTTCTCCAGAATTTTTTTTTTTTCAAATAATAACTCTCTCTCTCTCTCTCTCTCTCTCTCTCTCTCTCTCTCTCTCTCTCTCTCTCTCTCTCTCTCTCTCTCTCTCTATACGCTTTGGTCCTCATTGGCTGTGTGTCATGCCACTGAGCGTCAGTGGAGGTGCAACTCATGTCCCCTCCAACACCATCGCCCACCTCCCTCCCCACCCTGGCCTTGTTCCATCCCCAATCCCCCTCGATCCATTTCCGGACCCCTTCTTCTCCTTTTCACGGCCTTGCGCATAAACTTTCTTCGTTTCTCTCTCTGCCCGCACATTTATCCACGGTGTATGCAATGAACTCAAGGTCAAAATCATCATTTGTTGTTGTCATGTTATTGGCATCTCCTAACTGCACAGCACGCAACCCAGCTCTGTACAATGCGACGGCCTTGTCTGCAACAGAAACAACACGGTCGAGCTTGAAGATAGAAAAGCTTAAGACCGTGTCTCGGGAGCGGACCGATGCAACGATCTCTGTCTTGATAGCTGCAAGTTTTTGTATTTGGTCCGTTGCTTTACTGGTTTTTGCCGTCTGCTCGACTTCACTTTTCAGTACCAGCTCCGCAAATGCAAGTTGTTGCAACGTTACGCCAAGGTTGATCGCATCTCTTCTCATTTGAAAAACTTTTGTCAGTGCTGTCTTGAAAGGAGGAGCGCCCCACGGATCATTGTCGCTCCTTCTCCATGTTGTGTCCCCCTTCATCTCTGCCCGCATCCTGTTGCGAGTCGGAAGTTGGTGATCCGTTTGAGCTGACCGGACCAGCGGCAGACCTTTTTCGGCCCAAAACCAATACTTCAATTGCCATGATATCTCCCCTCGGACCCTTGTCATAATTCGATTGCATTCCCCGATCATAGCTCGGATTCTGTTCGCTGCCACGTGCAACCTTAGTCCTTCCTCGACATGTTCTCCTATCAATTTGGCAGTTGTTTGCAGTGCCGTGAAAAAATTGTCCTCCGATGGGTACAGCGTCACATCCTTTGCTGCTGAAAAAGCAAAGGCCTTCGTCACTGAACGAAACAGTCTGTTTTTCATTTTCTTTGTAAAACCTCCGGTTTGTTGCTCTGTTCATTCGCCAGCATTACCTCCACATGTGTTGCTTCGCCTTTGAAAATTAGTGGAACCTGGGGAAAAAACAAAAAGCAGACCAACAGATTAATGGTTTAGTGATAAGAAGACCCTCTGCGATATGTGTTTTATGTATTGCAATCAGAAACTGACACTCCCCCTCCCCGATCCACCCCCGAACACACTTCGCACCCCCCCC